ATTTTTCATTTTATTTTTTTAGGATCTTTTCAATCCTTTATTTTTTTTTTCTTTTCTTTTTCTTTTTTTTCAAGTGAGGATTACTATATCTAGATAGCCTTTAATAGTTATGAACTTCACTATCCTTTTATTAAAGTGAAAACTCCTTACCTTTCTTCACTTTATCAATTCATATTAGTTTATGATTTTAACAAGTTTCATTCTTTTCTTCTTACATGAAACTCTAAAATTCTTAATACTTTAAAAATACAATTTCCTTTACTTTAAATAGAAAAACTTTGTCTTATCTTATCATACCAAATATCTTTGATATTAGAATTGATCTTCATTATTAAAAACTTTTACCTAAATTTACCATAATATTCATAAACTTAAGAATAGTAATTTATAGTTTAATGTTAGTATCCCATGTCATGCTAAATTTATTTTAAAAATATTGTTACTTATGGGCAAATAAAATTTAGTTTACTTAGTTTTAAACGAAGTTTTCCTTCCCCACCAAATAGATGTATTTAAATAATTTAAAATTTTTTTAGCACAAAATTTAGTTGGTGAAAGAAAACAGTAAATGCATGAAAATAAAAACTAACCTGTAGAGGATTTCTGATTATGTTGGTATACTGCAGGTAACTGCAGGTACTAACTTTAAAAATATATATAATCTTTAAAGCATTAAATAAAACATAATATATTCCAAAGAATTTGCTAAGAATTAAAATCGAAAACCAAAACTGAAAATACTAAAAATGCAGGAAAAATAAAAATCTACAATTACTATTACAATTTTAAATCCAAAACATAAAATAAAAGATTTTACTACTTTAGTTTCAACTGTCAACCAAACATCATTCAAACAAAATACAAACGAAGAAACACATAATGATATAAATAAACTAACTCCATAAAATATCAATCTTCATCTCCTTCCTCACCATCATCCTCTTATTCTTCTACTTCTTCTTTTTCATCATGAATACGAGCATAAGGAATTAAGTCAGGGCAAGTAGGAAATTTCACATTGTATTCACCCTTAAGATATCTCACCATAGCATCCTCAAAAGCAATATCATGTTGAACTCTCCTTTGCTGATACTCATCATTATAAGCATTTCTTGCTTCAATCTCTCCAATATGATTCTAAATATTTAGTATATCCAATTGTTGTATCATGAGTTGGTCCATAATGTTTTATAGTGATGAAGGGCGAGAAATAGATGCCCCTACAACTGATGTAGAGGATTTATCGCTTCTTTCACCCCTAGATTCAAAAAATGATTCAACTCTCTGAATCATATGCTTCCCAATATAATTTTGTGGTTGTATATTTTTCTTATTTCTATGGGAATCTACTCATGATTGCTCAAAAAGAGTAAAAATGAGAATAGGGCAACCCAATCCACTAGCTGTAGAGCTCTTAGCTATGATCCATGCATGATGAAATATCTATTGCTTTTATATTTTGAATGTAATAATTCAATACAACTTTATCCTTTGTTACATTGGCCAGATGATTTGTTGACAATAATTTAGTAGAAATGAAGTGGTTCCATACCTTTGACTGACTAGTCAACATGGATGCAGAAAAGTTAACTATCAGTAAGGCAATTACTTCATCCAGTGATGAATCAATCCTCACGAATGCAGCATATTCACAAAAAATTCATTTCCCGGCCCATAAAAACCATTGACGTTTTCTACAATAACTTCAACTATGTTACCTCTCATAAGGATGTGATCCCAATCAATGAAACTCAAGTTGGCATAAAATTCCCAAATTATTGGCACAATCACTGTTGTAGTGAAGTAGCAAAATTATTCCTAATTTTTGCCAAGGATCAACCTCTCGATCTTGCCATCCCGGTTAGCAAATGTCGGTTCTTAGATCAATCTTCTCGACTCTATTTGAGTGTTATAACTGTGTTGTGCCATCAAATTAACAAATCTTTATGCATCAAAATCATCTGACCTTCCTCTCTTCACTCGTGGAGCCATTTGAAATACTACCAATATCTAATTAAATTCTAAATATATTACAACATCAAAAATTGAACTCCCCAAGTAAGATTATTTGGTATGAAACTTTTGACCAAGATTTACCTACAAGCTTTTTCATCAAAAATCCCAACTTTCAGTTTTTACATAATGTAGAAAAAATCCATGGTGAAAATAAAAAAAGAGTTACCTACAAGCATTTTCATAAAAAATCCCAACTTTCAGTTTTTACGTAATGTAGGAAAAATCCATGGTAAAATAAAAAAATATCTACGTTAAAGTGAAGCTCTTACCAAGAGAAGATAAAATCTAAAATTTTTAAGCTATGAAATCTTCTTTATCGCACCCAATGTGAAGCCCTATGTCAAGGGTAAGAGGTAGGATATGACCCAAACCGTAACAATTGAGTTTTACAGTGCAATTTTGCATTTTTTTACTAAATTGATTTTTATTGTGCAATTTTGCAATTTTTTACTCAATATAGCGTTTTAAGGAATTTCGTGCGTCATGCACCAACTCTCTGTAAACCGGGACATCATGCGCCAATTTGGTACATCTTGCACCAACGCCTTAATTTTACCAATTTTCATTTTCTGTGAAAATCTGCTCCGAACCACTTTACGTCTCCCTTTAATTAATTCAAATGAACATTCATAAGCACAATCAAACATTACTCTAACATCAATCTTTCACAAACAGCACAAAACTTACTTCTATAAATGAAATCTGTGCAGATATAAACTAACATTTTTCAAGCCAACAAACATATATTTTTGTGTTTAAAGCAAACTAAAACATCCTAACACTGAAATCTAAATATAAAGATACCAAACACAAACATTGACATAGTTCAACAACAAAAGTAAATGCAATCTAACTCAATAAACAACTAAAAGAAGTAGTACTAAACAAAATGTTCCGTGCATAGATTAATGAAACATGTTCTTCACTCTTGTCCTCCTGCATATCTCCCTGTTAGCACTATTTTTTTGTTGGAGAGTTGCCCATAAGAAGCTGTCGGTCACAAGAATCAAAATTTTGTCGCCCGCTTTGGAAGGATGTTTTAATTTACATATATATTTACTTTTAGAAAATTATGAAATCAAACTAACCCTATATTTTTCATAGTTTAAATGAAAGAGCGAAGTACCTCAAATCCTTTATCTATCCCGAAGGATAAACACAAGACTTGAGGATGAGGCTCGATCAAATAATCTAAGGAATATATGACATTCGTTTTGTCTGCAATACATTTATATTTGCCGACAAGTTCCTCTAATTAATATAAAGAAAGAAATAGGCTTTATATTAAGTTGGGTTCAGACATGCTTCCTATAAGGGCAAGCCCCTGTAGTTAGGTCACCTAAGAGGACACTTAATAAAAATTGAGAAATATTATCTTCAAGGAGTTTCAAAGGGTGGGACTTTTCAATGAGATCGGACATAGAGGTATGAAGGGGGATCAGTTCAAATTTGGAACATTTTATTGTAGAATTCAAAGGAAGAAGAAATAAGGGATGTCATGGATCCAGAGAACTCCGGTGACTTCCCAAGCTATCCTAATGTTTGTCTTTAGTTTTAAAGATAATTATTTAGGTGTTTCATCCAGTTAATTTTATTAGTTAGGGCTTACATTCATGTGAAACTTTCACACAAATAGCTTAGAAAATGTGAGGGTTTCGGTCGTGACAAACGACAACCTTAGAATCCTAAGACAATTTAGGGCTTATAGTGTATAGCAGGGCTATACAAAGGCCTAAAGGTAAGGTGAGGATTTACGTTGCATAAGCAAGCAACCTCAAAGTCCTATGACTTTGTTATTTATATCTAAGGAAGGAAGATTGGTTTAGCTGGGGAATACAAGTTTTGCTGTTGAAGATGGCCGTGCTGTCCACCATGCTAGCTCCAAGCTCCTTACCGCGACGAGT